TTACTCATACTAATAATGTCGAATAGAACGATGAAACGTAGTATGTAGAAGAAAGAGTTAAGAATGCGCTCTTCTTTATCAAATAGTGCCATTTCGTACGTTACTCACTACTGTAGCGATTCGTATAGCATTGCAAAGCCAGCGTCTAGTGCTAGGTAAGTAATTAGTTATTACGGGATTTCGGGATCACTACCTGTTTTGGTCAAAATTTGGGTGAAAATCTGAATTTGCGCGGGAGTTTTCTGTTCGCAATTAGCCCCATAGCCGGATGCCCGGATGGCTTCTTAGCAGAACTGCAATACATAAATTTATTGCAGCATCGCTCACAGCCAATTCGATATTTCTGTGTAACGTGCAACGTAGCTATATGCAGCGAATGTACTCAGGTTGATCATGTGGCCCCGACACATCAGTACGAGTTGATCTGTGACGTTACCGAAAAACAAATGGCAATTATGGAAGCACTGGTACAGGAAGCTCGACTCAAACATTCCGAACTTCTGGAAATGTACAAGGTATTGCTTAATCATCACGTGAAAATTTTAACTATCTTCTTACTTACACATTATCCTACTTTTCTTTTTTTTTGTATTTTTGGGCATTTTTCGATTCTACGTGCTGACCATTGGAAATTAGAGGTGTTTTTTTGCAGCAATCTAATCAAATTTTGCGCCTTCTACAGTTTGCTTTACAACAATTTTAATATATTCAATCTGTGCTACTGGCGCAAATGCGGGACACTAAAATTGCCTAATCAGTCACTTTCTTTTCTATGAAAGCCGCCTTTTATACGAAATTCACCTTCGGACAGAAACTCTGCATTCTGAATTTGCTGAATTTAAGAGAGATGTAGAAATTCTTCTAAACGCCATAAAAATTTACAGATGGTAGATGCTGCCCAGAATCGCTTGAGTAGTTCGCTGACCCGAGCGCATCAGAATGTGGACGAAGCAGCACAGACGTTGATGCGTATTATTGAGGAAAATCGTCGTCAAGTAATCAAGGATTTGGATAATGCCTATAGTGCGAAGCAGCTGCAGCTTACTGTTATCGATAAGAAGGTTTGATTTGTTTTGTCTTTGCAGTTTTCGTAGAGAATAGTACGCATAGTCTTCCCAAAATTACAGTCCACCATTGACGAATACTCGAATTTAAATTGGCTGATTTTACTGTATTGATTTGACAGTAAGAAGCCTAAATTGATACTTGAACTGGCACATAAGCACCCAATCTTTTATCCTGATATTCTGTTCAGTTGTTGTTTGATTATCATTTTCCGAATTTTCCATTCTACGCCATCGATAATCAGCGCCAAGATGGGCTATTTTCTCTTGCTAGCACCTTCTCACATGGTACTGTTATAAGTGAAGACGTAATTAGAAAGAAGATGCGCTTAATAACAAAAAAGCTGAAAGTTTCTAGCTGAAAAGCTCCTCTGTTTGTTTCTCTCTTGTTCGGTCGTCTGCTGCCTACTCTGATCCTCTGCATTTTGAATAAGTGGCCATCGCACGGGCTGCCCGTGCGAAGATGCGATTTTTGCATAGTTCCCCACAGTTTTTGTTGCTGTCGCACCGGCTTTTTCGGCAAATACTTCTAGCTAAACAAATTAAGACTGGTCGTCAGAACTGTCAGGAAGCACCCCCTTAAAATTTCAGCTTTCTAGCTTCCCTGGTTCCTGAGTTAGTAACCTACTGGAAAAAAATTTTCACGGACCCGTGCGAATTTGCCACTCATGCCCGAGAGCTGGGTTTGAGGTGAATGAAACTTAGGTGAACGGGATGTGTCCTCTTAAAATTACAGCCCTTCAGCTTCTCAGGTATTCGAATTATTAACTTACCCGAAAAAATTTTGGCGATCCTGTATGCGAGTACCACTCTTATTCGGGGGCTGGGTTTGAGCTCACTAATACCCACGTGGACGGGGAACATCACCGTAGTATTTCAGCTTTCTAGCTTCTCAGATCCCCGAGTTACGAACTTGCCCGAAAAAAATTCTGGCGGGTCCGTACACGGATACCACACTTACCCGGGGCTGGGTTTGAGCTCATTAATACCTACTTGGATGGGGGACATCCCCTTAAAATTTCAGCCTTCTAGCTTTTCTGATTCGCGAGTTATCAACTTACCCGAGGAAAATTTTGGCGGGCTCTTACGTGGGTACCACGCAGGTAAGACCACCGAGGTTGGGGCCCGTACGTGCATGTAGATTATGCCCCCAAAGTTTCAGCCCTGTAGCGTTTGCAGGTCTCGAGATGAAAAATCGGTGCAGACGAACACACAGACACACACACAGACAACCTCTTGTCAGTATGCGTTTTCTGCGTTGCATAGCTGCAAAAAACGCATAAAAATGCTCATCACACCTATAGCATGTAGGAAGCTGCACTGACGATTTCCATTCCTACGCAATTGCTGCGTTCGGCCTCTGTTTACAGCTAAGGGATGAAATACAGTCTGCATCCAAACTTCTCTTTTCACACATGTTACTTAGACTGATTTCTTTCTCCTACTCTATTATTTTATAAAAGAGGAAAGGAGAAGATACCGAAAGGAGTTTTACTTGAAAAATGCTCCATCATCTTCCCATTTCCCGTTCCTTCCTCCTCCATGCCTTGCCCCCCATTTTTCTGGTAAATGAGTTTTTTTTACAGATACAGCAAATGGCAGAAAAACTATCGCAAACTATCGAATTTACATCACGTCTTATGAA